GGGAGGTGGGCAAGGATGAGGCGGAGGTAGGGGCCTGTCTGGGGCACCGCCGAGACTGAGTTCCGAGCTGGGTTCGAGGTTGGACTGCGCGAGGAAGAGTCCTGCGGAAGAACTGAGCTGACAACGATGTGGGTCAGGACAACAGTAACGATTGAACGGTGGACTGAGGAAAACACTGGGCTCGAGGCCGGCACCTGGGACGAGAGGGCGCGCTGCGGTGAGGACGAGCGGAGCAGCGGGCTGCGCTCGGCCGGGGCCGGCGGGGGCAGTGAAGCAGGGGGGCGGGCCCTGACGACGGAGGCGGGGCCCCGCGCTGGTCTGGGGGCGGGCTCTCGTGAACCGGGGGCCAATGACAGAGGAGGGGTCCTGAGCCCGTGGAGGGCTAAAGTCTGGAGCAGTCGGCCGGAGCCAGAGCTGCAGCTCCGGTTTGCCGGGCTAAGAGGCTTCTCAGTCCTGTTCGCAGCCGCAGGCTCAGACCGCCAGTTTGGGACTGTGGGCTTGGCTGAAGCCCATGGCCCACTGCCACCCAGGCGCCGGGGCTCGGGGCGGGCAGTTCCATTGACCTCCAGGATGGGCAGACTTCAGGGGGGTGGGGGTTGGGGGTTCCACGAGTGACGTCACAATCTGTCCGGCTGGGGGCGGGACCAGGAGGCGTGTCCAAGGAGACGAGGGCGCGCTGCCATCCTTTACACTGTCCTATTCCCTCCTTCCTTTCCTAGTTTTTTCCCTTCTTCCCGTCCTCCCCTTCTCCTCCCCACTTCCGCAGCTCTGGTACCCGCAGCTTCCAGGGCTGCGGAGCTCGGCCCGCCGCTGACAGGGAGAATTCTGTACTGATGAGCATCACTTGTGAGTTTTGAGTTAGGCTTCTGCCTTGGGCTTAATGCTGCACCAAAGGTTCCACAAGCCCTGCCTTCCTTTCAAGATATTAACCGCACCCCCCGCATTCCTAGTGAAGTCCCTTGTGGCACTGCTGCTGCAGTCAGAGCACTCCTTTGTTCTCTCTGGAACTAAAGGGTAGGCTGTTTTTCTCAGAGCTGAGGAGAGTTAGTCCCTCTTTCCGTCGGCCTTTCTCCCTACCTTCCACGAAAGCTGGTGGCTGTCAGGGTCTCTTGGGAGTGAGTGAGTGGAAAATAGGCGCCGACTCTGCCTAGGACCACCTTCATGGTGACGGAGTGAGCAGAGCCCGTGGAGTGAGAGCAGAATTTCAGTCCAGACCCAGCCTCGGGTGCTTTCCTTATGGCCTTAGGGTCCAGGCAGCATAAGGGAGGATATGGGGTTAGGATTGAGAGGGTGAGGAACTAAGTGTTGGAGTTGGAAAGCTGGTGTGGGAGATGACAGCCGGAAGGGTAAGTTTTGGATAGGGAGGTGAGTGTGATTTTAAGACTTGGCTGTGGCACGCATGGCATAAAGTAACCCTTTATACTTACTTACGTGTATCTCTCCAGCCAACAGTAAATAGGGCTGAAAGTGTACAGGGTATGAAGCCAGGAAGACCTGGGTTTGAATCCTCCTCCTGCTGTCAACCTATTTCTGGGCAAATTACTTATCCCCTCTGAGTCTCTGTGTCCTCATCCATAGAATTTAAAGGAGTGCAGTGCAGCACTTGGTGATGCGAAGTTGTGCACCCTGAGTCAGTTACCTTTGCCGCAGTAGTAGAATGCTTGCCTAACATGGGTGAAGCCCTGGGTTCAATCTGCAGCAAAATCCCCTTACCCCTCTCCCCAGTGCCCTGAAGTTTGAACCCCTTGGACAGAATCTCCAGTACCTCTTTGTGGATCCAATAGAGGTTTAGTCTGTTCTGTTTATGTATTCATTCAAATAACCGACATTTACTGAGCACTTTCCGTGGCTTTCCGTGGCTCTGTGGATACAGAGGCAGATGAAATAATGTTTTCCCCTCAAGGAGCTATAAGTACCTGTCACAAGTTCCAGGTACTATGGCAGCAGGTGAAAAGGGTCAAGACACATGATTTTTGTTTGTTTTGAGACAGGGTCTCACTATGTAGTTCAGGCTGGCCTTGAACTCACTACGTAGCCAGGCTGGCCTCAAACTCTCAGTGATCCTCCTGCCTCAGCCTCCCAAGTGCTAGGATTACAGGTGTGGGCCACCACACTTAGTTTGACACAGATGATCTTTTCTACTGGGATAGCATTGTTCTCTGGAAGATGTTTTGGTGTATCTTGAGAGTGGCAGGCAGGAAAGAAGAAATGGAAGAATGAGGGGTGGGAGGGAGGGATGGATGTAAGGTAGGAGGAACTGACAACTGAGGAAGGCACCTGGGTCTGTTTCCTAGGGAGCCTGGTGTGTCATGATTAGGAATCTGAACTTCATCCTGAAGGCAGTGGGATGCTATTAAAAAGGAATTTGAGCTGGGTGTGGTGGTGCATGCCTGTAATCCCAGCACTCAGGAGGCTGAGGCAGGAGGATCAAGGAAATAGGTCCAGTCTCTAGCACTGCAAATAAATAACCTGAGATGCCACACACCTGTAACCTGGGAGGCCGAGATAGGCAGATTGAACTTCCATCCTAGCTCAGGCAATTTACCAATTGAGAACTTGTCTCAAAATAAAAAAAATTTTAAAAGGGCTGAGAATATAGCCCAGTGTGAAGGCCCTGTATCCAACTGCTAGTAGTGGAAAACTAAATAAATATTAAAAATAAATAAGTGAGACCTTTCTTTAGT